ATTTTAAAATTACTATTTTTAAACGTACAATATTACATCATCAATCCTCGATGATCACGCTTCATGAAAATTATGCAATGATCACACGGAATCAACATGATCCCAGCACGTTTAAATGACTGCCTTTAGCTTTATAGGATAAAAAAAAATTAGGGACACTCTTTGAACTTTAAAATATGTACTCGCATTGATTTTTTGCTGAATTAATAATTTTAAAATAGTAAAAAAATCCATGAATGAAAGTCTAAAGTGAAAAGTGACCTTTTCATTAAAAAAATCATAACGTTTTAATTTTTTAATATTTTTGCGTAAAATTTTAAATAAAGTCTTCAGATACTGTACTTCGATTAAAAAAGTTATTGCAGGTGTTTCAAAAAAGATATTTATTTTCAAGATTGATTGAGGTGATTTAAAAAAAAAATAATCAAGCACATTGTTCAACAAAAGTTTATTCTTGTGTTAAATCAATCATATATAATATTATTCATTAGGAACATATATTTTATAAGATAATAAAGTAATTTGACCAAAAAAATATTGTAAGATCATAAAAATAACACTAATCTTGGCCTGCATAAGATATGCACAATGATCATTGCACATGGGGCGATCGCAATTTGGGCATTGTTCTAAAGTTTTTTGTCTTTTTTTCTTTTACATAAGCTACATCAATGTCTTTTTTCAAATTTTGGCTGTTTATTGTTAATTTGTTCCCTGTCTGTTTTTAAAATACCAGATAACTAACTTCAAATCAATACATATTGGCATCAAATAGTGTTCTTGTAAGGTTGGAGTTACTAGATGCAAACTCAAGTGTTTCAAGCAATCATGAGCAATTACTTTAATGTTTTTTCTTTCCTTATTATATTTACATTGTAAAAGAATCTTAGCGTTAACTGCTTCTTGATCAAGCATTCCGAAAAAGATTCGTAGAGGCCATCTGTTCGTTTTCTGCTTACTGTATACATGTGGCTTGCCCATAAAATAGTTCCATCTGTTTTATTATAATGTTTAATTATTTCTGGCTTGCCATCAACGATATTTGCAGAATTAGAGAAAGTAGACCAGACTATTTTATTTTTTTTTGGTGTATGCGATAACAATGTTATATTGGAAAATAAAACTTTATATTTGGTGATTTATCAGTTACTTTTAATTCTGCTGGAATCTCTCTTTTGTTTTCCTTAAGGTTTCCCAATAATAGTTACATTGAATTCAAGTTCAAGCATTCGCTCCATTAAGGAATTACTAGTAAATCAATTATCGATAGTTACTGTCCTATTAGTTTTATAGATTGATTTTGTCACTTCTCTAAAGAAGAAGTCCGGAACCGATTCATTTTGGGCTCTTATTTTTCCGAGATATGGTATAGCATTTATTATATATATGACGTGTGAGCATCATTCAGAGAAATGATTTTAATTCATATCTGTCAGGTTTTGATTTAATGTAC